GTTCTTCATCCACTTCTAATATATTCAATACTAAATTAACACAGAAAGATTGGACATTCCCAAAACAGCACCAGATTTTTTTCTGAGGTTTCCTGTGGTCTTTGTACCATGTTCTCACTGAGGAGAAGCAAAAGCAAGGAACGGAATGCTAGTAGATGCAGTGATGGAAAGCAAAAATGATTGAAATCTCTCAATTTAAAAAAAAAATATATAGGTCTAGGTGCTGATGATGTAACCATTAAACAGATTGCTCATTGGGCATACAGTTCAATTTTTGCATTAAATTCTTAGGCCTAGTAAGCAGATATGGTTGTGTGAATCCCACAAAACTAAGACTTAGTACAAGCTCATAAATAAGGATAAAATCTCCAGTACTAATACTAGTTATTGTACAAGAATTGTATTGTGAACTAGTTTTTAGCTTTCCATATCTCTTCCTGAAAAGTTTTCACTGACATTTCTTCTGAGAAAAATACTCTAACTCATGCTATAAATTCAAAGGCAAGACATATAAACAAAAGATACCTGGGAACCCACACATTTTTTTCACACAGATGAAACAACTGCAGATAGATATGCCCATTTAACCAAAAAAAGAATCTGAATTACTGCATCTATCCAAACCTAATTTTCTCTTTTATTCCAATAATTAACAATTTAAAGAAAATATCTGATATAGAGTACATTCTTTAGGCTCATCTTTTATACCACAGTACTATAATCCAACATGTTCCCTTTTGTCTTCTTCACTTGAAAGCAGTAACAGTCTACCCTTGACCAAAAAAACCCAGATTTTGTATCCCATTAGGACCATCTATGTGAGTCCTTAACTCTAAAAACGTGGGAAAAATAAGGCAACAGAGTCCTAGCAACAGTTAAAATCCAAGTAGTACTTTTTGCCAAGTTTGAATGCCCTTTACAAGGTCCTACTTTAATTTTTTCTAGCTCAGTTTTATAAATGGGAGTAAATAAACACATACAGAAATAAATTATTTTCCAAAGGTCACGCAGTAAAAAAGAATGGATTAGCCCATGGTTTAAGCACCAGATTGGATCTTAAAACATGATGGCTCTGTCACTAAACCTCTTGTGCAACCTTGCACCAGTCACTTAATATCATTTTATTTTCTACAGATAGGGTTAAAAAACCCCAATACCAGCATGTAAGATCTGGGAGGAACTGCAACCATATGACAGAAAAGCAGAAGTGCCAATAATAAAACTCATGCTTTTGATTCATGCCCATCTATTTTATGGACAAGACTCCCTCCTTGGCTAAGCATAAGCATGTAGTTCAAAATACAGGACAGCTCCAGAAACACTAGCACATTGGGATAGCACATTAAGAGAAAAGCCTATTAAATAAAACAAGCAACAATTTCTGAAAGAGAAATTCATAGCCTTGCACTTTTCTAAACAGTCTTCTCACATTCTCATAGTCATTAAAATGTATAAAAATGATTATTTCCAAAACAGCATTACCATGAATTATCACCACCCCTGTTGCCTAGCAACTGGAGTAATTTTTGAATAGTGAGCTATATAAACCAGTATCTGGAGTTTGTGCAAATGGGTATTCATTTGAGGATTTAAAACAGATTCATCGTGGAAATCAGAGGAAGATAATATAGCACTAATGTAAAGCTGAAATGCTCTTAAAAAATTAAAATGGCAGCAGTAACAATTACTGCAGCTTAGCACAACCCTCCTCCTGTAGCAGATCAGGACTTGTCAAACTTGGTCAGGGCAGGAGCTGACTCCCTTGCTTTTTCTTGGGCTTGCAAGTGTCTCTTTCTAATTTTTATGAAGATATTTGACATTCCTGTGGAGAAAATAATTCTTGCCCAGTCTTTTGAGGGATTTGCTCATAACTCAAGAGCAAATGAAACTGTTGACATTAAATGGCAATGTATTTAAGTCAAATTAAAAATTCTATTTTTATATAACACAATGAGCTGGAAGAACTCATTGGTTTATACCATGACAGAATTATGTGCTTAGTAAGGTTCAAGCTAGGTCAGGACATTAGTAGTGACAAAGAGGTAACCCACTGAGATATTAGAGAGAGATTATAAGTACATAAATGAAAGATACAAACTCCTAGAAATCACAGCCCGGTCACTCATTAGCTGCATGTGGTTGACCATTATAGGGATTCTTGCCCATTCTTCAAACCCATCTGGAATTTAACTTGAATGCAGGACAGGATCCCAAACCATATCGACCTGTATTGTTTGATGTCTGAGAATTTCTACACTGCTTTCTTACAACTTCAGTAGACAAGTTCCTGCTAAAGCCAGTGTCAATCTGTGTTACTATTCCCAAAGTGTGTTTGTTTGTTGGGGAGGGGGTAAGGGTGTTCCCAAGGGAGGAAGATTCCAATTCAATGGCTTCCAATGCTTATCTTATTGGTAAGGGGAAAAAAAATGCAAAATGTGCTGAGCAGCAGCATGTGTTTTTCATAAAGACTGCAGGCAGAGAGGCAAATTCATCCCTGGCATAAACACACAGCCCACTGAAGGCAATGCAGTAGCATCTGCTTATACCAGCTATGAATGTGAACAAGCTTTTCCCTACAACTACTACCTGCGGAGATAAAGCTGGATACAGCACTGAAGGGAGTTTAAGAGCCTGCAGCCTCTCAGAGTTTAGAGAACTAAATTTCTGCAGTAAGAGAAAACCCGATGTCTATGAAATGGCGAGTTCCCAGGCTCCCGGGAAGCCATGCAGTGCCTACTGACAGGCTGCTATAAAATACTTAATGGCTGTTTAATAGCTCAGATAAAGAAAAGACGCTCCATTTTGTCTGCTGCTCTATGGAAATCTGCTGAGACCACACACACAATGCGCAGCACTGTCACAGAAGAAAACACTTCTGTTGTTTTCCTTTGGTCTCACTCAAAAAAGGTGGTTAACAAAATTTTTATTTCATCCTTAACAATGAAAGAGAACACCCCTAAAGAAAGGGAAATTAGCTCAGTTATATAGGTTAGCTGCTGCTCTAAACAAGAGGTGCTACTGAACATATATCACATCAGTCTGTGGGACACTCAGCCTCTTCTACAATGCAGCACACACCTACACAGCCAGATCACTGATCAAACAGTGTTTGTGCTCACCCAGCCACCAAGACTCTTATTTCCATTGCTTGTCAATAGATGACATTTGGGAAAAAGTTATTTCTGCACTGTTCTCAGGAAAAAAGTAGACAAAATTTGCTCCAAAATATGCCAACATGTTTTTCAAATTAAATTTTAAAAGTCCTGTTAGATGACCAGCCACTTCTCTGTATTTATACTCTGTATTACCTGCTCCTATAGAAGCAAATTCAAGAGGAGATGCTGGCCTGAAGAGAGCTTTTATCTTCTTTCAGCAATACAGAAACAGTAACGAGTAAGTGTGCTGGCACCTCTGGCTGTGTAAGCTCAGAAGTGCAACAGCTGGGAATCACAGAAGAAAGATTAGTAGCGCAGCAAGTAGAAGACATGTTTGGTCACACTTTTCTCCCAGTCAAGCATTGCCAGGAAAGACAGCTGTTGTATTTGGTAACTATTCCTTGTATGTTTAGTTCTAGCCTAGGGAGCATCATTAACATTATTTTTCTATTCCTACAGTTTGCCTTCCCTTCAGTTCATAAAAACCGACAGGAAGCAAGACAGGCTTTTGATAAGCATAGTTTGAGCTACTCTTTGTGAAGTGCAGAGTTCAAGCTTTTTTCACACTATGGCTAGGTACACGATCCATAAAACATTTCATGAACATTTATACATACAAATTTGGTTGGCCCTTAACCGAATTCCAGCCTGACTGAATTCTAGGAACAGGAATGTTTCCAGAGAGCATGTTTTAAGCCTGGACAGACAAATAATTTCAGAAAATAAATGTCAGAAGAAAAATTAAGTAATAACCAAAACTTAATTCATTTTTATTTTCTAAAATGAAGACAAAACAAAAGTAAAACCTGTCAATACCTTACAATCTTGAATGAGCATGAGAAAATAATCATGTTTGCAGCCTTTATCATGATTAAAAGGGTAAAACGTATGGACTGAAATATGGTCTGTGAATGACTTGGTTCGTTTTTCATGTCACCCTGTTGTTCCTAATGAATAGTGACATTCATTAGCAGTTTGATTACAAGATGCTACAGTAAGCCATTCCTGTGATGCTAGTTGCTATTCCCTAGCTTTTAGTCTAGAGGAAAGCAATACTATTCTGCAAATCAGAAACTTCTGAATAGGAATGCTGTATGTATGTCTGGGTTGGTTAATTAATCCAAACTTGCTTTTAGACCTGCACACATGACAAATGGGGTGAGACAACGATGAAGAGAAATGAGTACAAAACATACCCACTAGGTGAGCAATTCCTCTAATTTTGCAGAAGCTACCTGCAGTAGCAAAGGCCACTTGTCTAGTGTGACAAATAGGGCCTACTTCTTTTTGTTTGCAAGTGAAAGGCTGCCACTGAGATTCAAACCACAGAAAAATAAAATGCAAAATAACCTTGGGTCACAGAAAGAATCTCATGACAAAAATGCATGCTCATTGTGACATATATTTTCAAGAAACTAAATTCCACATAAAGGACAGCAAAATAATTTTCTTTATATTGCTGGATTATGGCAGCAACATTTGTCTCTGTGGAGAAAATATGAAACGGGCTTTCAAGTGCTTTGAAACATTAAAAAAAGTCCTTGAACAGTACTAGAAATCAGAATCCTAATGTGCTGAACTTAGAGCCTTAAGATCTTTAAGACACCCGGATCCTATTTCAGCAGGCTTCTTCCTTTGAAACCTGAATGTCAAATGCAGTGTAGCTACCAGATGCAAGGTTAGATCAGGTGTCAGCGAACCTTCGGCAGGTTTTGTCGTACCTCAGGAGGGCTGCACTGACCCCAGCAGACCGTCTCCCTGCTCACCCCACGTCTGCCTCAGGCCCAGACGAGCAAACTGCTCGCAAGCATCCTCTCATTAGGTGCAACACAGCATACCACTTACTTGTACGGGATGTGTTTGCTTCCATTGACAAGAGCGAGGATGACATTGCCCAGTGCTGACAATGAGAGACAGAGGCCAGAGCTTCCCTCCCGGTTTTTGCTGAGCACTTTCACGCAGCTACCCAGGTCAATAAGGTGCAAGCGGCTGCGACCCCCAGACACTGCCATAAACAAAGAAAGCAAACAGTTAGCATGTGCCTCCAAAAGCAACTTCCCAGGAAAGTAAAAGACTCGCCACGAGTTGTGAAGAGGAAGCAATCCAGAAACCTTTCCTAATTCGTGTTAGCAGCAACAAACTGTAGGGATCCTGTTAACTCACTGTCGGCCTTTATTGCTGTACATTGCTGTTCACTATGGACTTGCTAAAAAATTGCCGAGGCTTTCAGTACTCACCCGTTCCTGCAGGTTTAACTCTGTGGGAGTCACCATTGTGCTTTTTTATTTTTTTAAATGCATCTCTATTAGCCTGTACCTGAGTTGGCTCTGTTTCCATCTCTGTCATTACGGATCCTCTGTCCGGAAAACTACAGGCTGGGAATTGCTGCTTGGTGAGCATTGATCCCGTGGTAGCTTATCCTTCCCATCTTGAATACTGAATCTTCAGAAGAACCTGTGGCGTCTATGGGATGCTCAACTTTCCTTTAAGTCTATATACTTTTACGTTATCATTTGAGCTAAGAAAAGTTTTGCCATGCCACAGGTAATGGATTGTGGACAAGCTGCTCTGTTCTGAAAATAGTTTCTGTAAAATTGGCAGTGGATCCCCATGGTTTTTTTTTTCTTGTTTACTCTGTATCAACACACTGCATTTAAAGTGAAAAGATGCTACCACTGAAAAACCAAGATTAAGAGACATTTGCTCTCTTTAAAAAAACATGGTTCCTTATGAAACCAGGACGGGAACTATGTAGACTTTACAGAAGTGCTTCTCAAAAAAATTTCTTAGCTGTGTTTTTTTGCATCAGATCTTTGACCACTCCTCCCAATTCTCAAGAGTTAGTTTAGAAAAAATCTGTAGGAGATGGCAGTTTTATTTCTAGGATCTTAACTCAAAAGTGAAGAGCACTATTTGAGGACACAAACATAACTTAAACAGGAGTGGAAACAGTTCAGCATCTGAGTTTACCTCTATGCAAGTAAATTCACAGCACTTCAACTGATGCATCTGGTAAAAAAAGTATTAGCAGTGGGGGTAGACCAGTTCACAAAGATGGTGATGGGAGCAACTACGTGGTGGGGACCTTAGAAAAGAAGTTTCCAGATACATTCCATTGCTTTGGAAATGTCTCACCAACCACAAGCACGCTTTTTCAATGACCCTGCCTTCAGTAGCTGTGGTACCATGCCATGGTATACAGGCATGTATGTGCCATAGGAGGTAGAAGGAAATAAGTTTACATAGATATGTGAAGAAGACACCTGTAAAACTTCTACATATTGTGATGAAAATAGGTGATACATGATCGTAAACTTTTGCAGATTTGCTCATAGAAAGTCTACTATGAAAAATGTATATAAATATTAAAAAGATACAGCTACTAAAGGTATATATATTAGCTGTAACTTAAAACATGCTAACTCTACACTGAAAAAATGAGAGATATTTTATTTTGCAAGCACTGTAAACCACAGGGCTCACTGCTTCTTGCGACTACCTGTTGTCTTGAATGACACAAAACTCTCTATAAAAATAGCAAGCCTTTCTGTAGAATGTATCATACATAATTCTATAATCCTGATTCAGTTGTAGGTGATAGATAATTAAAATGAATTACACTAAAACTACAGATAGATTTTTATGATAAAAGAAAAAGAAACATGAATAAAGAGAAAGAAGAAGACAAGATAAGAAATTAAAAGCAAAGCAAGGCAGAGACAAGAAAGAAAGAAGGAAGAAAGAATAAATAGAGAAGAATAAAGAAGAGAGGACTTTTTCTGTGAAAGTGGTTTACGCAATGGAACTTGAGAATAATATCCCCAAAATACAGTCAGCATCTCTGTCAAAAATTGTTAATACAGTAACTTCTGCTCCTTTTAAGTCCTGTTAGTGCTTCAGTTACATCAGGTATTAGGCAACACAGGACTCCAATGTATTAAATTATACTGTGATATCGGTTAAGTCATGCTGAGTATCACCAAACAGAAATAAAGAATAAATGTCTGATTAAAACTAATGTTGGTGGCTAGGCTGCCAAAAAGCTGTAACAGTCCCCAGATTATATGACAACCCGTCAAACATGTCCACGGAAGTTTCACCACTGTGCTCTTGGTGATGGGATACTTCTCAAGGGGCAGCATCCACACACACTACGGGCTCCCGTACTCGCTGTGGAAAGTCAGACTTCCCTGGGGAGCCCTCCAGGCAGCTGGACGTTCACCTCCTCTGAACTACTCATGGACTTCTTCCTCCCCTCTAAGACTCCTTAAAACTCTTAGACTTAGGAGTCCCTGAGACCTCTAAGACTGATGCCCTCAGAAGGCTGAAATTACCTTTTTTGAGTATCCCCCAATGATTTCCTTAGAAAAACAAAGAAATGTGTTTAGTTCCTACTGAAAATGACTGCAGGTGATGTTACTGAATTATATATAATAAATTTTTCTGTTGCCAAGATTACCAGACATCGGGGAAACAAAAGGAAATGGAAGAAATCACTACCCTTCAAAACCTCGGTCATGTTGTTTCTACACATGCTTCTACTACACAGGCTGAAGAAATCCAGAATAAGATAAATTACCAGACCTTTCATTCTTAATTAATTTATAAGTCAAAGTAGGTCATTTTTAGGATGGAAGATCCACTTGCTTGATTGGAAAATGAAGTTATTTGTTAGGCAAGTTCTCCACTAATGTGCCTGGTAACTATAAAGAAAAGAAGTGGAACATCCAAACACTTGTTTTTGTCTATGGACACAGAGACTTTTCAGAGCTGACAGCTAAAAAATGACTGTGTCAGTTCTGCCACAATGCCATTTATTTCAATGGTGCTAAGTCTGCTTCATGACATTCCTGGTAATGAATCTAACAAGGAGGTAAGTACAGTACCAATATGCTATTCTAACAGTCATTTTTTACCAAAATCATATGTTGGCCAGCCCTTTAATCTCTTCTCCTTTAGAAACTGGGTTTCTTTTTTTTTTTTTTTTCTTCCCCCTATCTTTTTTAATCCTGTTACTGGAATCTATATATCTCTACTATCTTCATGTTTTTTTCTGAAAAGTCCTTCATTACAGCAGGAGACAGTGATAATCACTAGGCGCCCTTTCTGAGTAGCTGGAATTCCCTCCTCATTCAATTATCAGCAAGATCTGACCCTGCCTGGCTTGTGAGGCCACTCAGATACAGGAACTTGAAGACAAGGTGATGTGGCCATGAGACAAAGCAAAAACTAAAGGCAGTGGGCAAAGCATGCCACATTATAATCCAACAGGATCGTGTCTTCTTTTTTGAAAATAAGTCATTATAGACACAGGAAAACATTTTTTTCCCTTTTAGTAATTGCATGTGAAAATAGTAGAAAAGGACTGTGTGCACATGCACTTGTGTGCAGTAAAAAGCGTGAAGCATTAAATAACTGTGATGATAATTCCCTCAAAATCAGACATCTTTATTCCTATGAACCAGTCCATTTGAGCATTCACAGTCTTCCTTTCCACCTCAGGGTAGTTAATTAACAAAGCTTTAGTTAATTGAGATTTCTGCCTGCCAATTCCACTGGGGTTATTACTTAAACACATGCAAACTGAATTTCCATTTAGAAAAACTTTCTGGTTTTCTCTGTTATAAGTATGGTCAAGGCACATTTTCTGCATTCAAACATTAGACATTAGTACCGCAGTGTTGTTCACCCACTATACATCATAGCTTGCAATTTATTTCTTGTTACAACTAACCTATGCAGAGCCAGGAGCTGAAACAAATGCTATTTCTGCAGAATTGCTTAAGCCCACAAATTTAAAGAAGCAGAGGTCTCTGGTGTTTTTCAAACAATCATTTTTCCCTATAAAAAATGTTTATTTAGAAAAAATAATTTTAGTGTGCATGTTTTCTTTTTCAGTGGGAGTGCTTCTTATATCATGCAAATCTTTTATCACTGGAACTTACTAAAAAAAGACCTTCTGTACATCTCCAGATATAAACAGTTTGAGAGGCTTGAAACAGAAGATAAATTATAATAAAAAAATATAAATGGTGCAAGTCAAATGAAACCTTTGAAAATTATAGAAACATATAAATAGACATGGAAGCATCTTTTCCTCATTTAGAAGCGGGAGATGGAAGTAAAGACACAAGCCAGTGAAATCATCTGCAAAGACAGGGAGCAAGCCAACCTGAAAAGCCCAGAGCCTTTACAAAGAACCACGAGAGTCCTTCATGCGCATTTAGTTGGTCGAGCAACTAAAATATCATGTATCTGCAAGAAAAGGTACAGTTTGTGCATTCCCAACATCAGCTTCCACACACACTGCCCTATTTAGGTGCTAAAGCAGAACAGCTAACATAAGGGTGGCAAGGAATACCCATCACCACGATATTTTAATTCATGACCTCAACACTATCAGTAAAGATAATACCAAAAGCCAATTTGAAAAGCACTTTTTTTTTTTTTAGATAGAGGCCTACACAGAGCTGAGGACTAACTGATAGTATCTTCACGACAGCAACTAAATTGACAAGTGATGGTAATAATCCCCAGTAGCCTGCCTGCTGGCACAAATGGTCCCACCCCACGCTGAATGGACAACTCGGCTAATTTTCATCGCTAAAGAATATTGTTTAAAGGCCCGTTTAAAGCCAGTTTCCAGGCAGGCTAGGAGGAGGCAGAAGGGAGCGGGGGGACAGCTTACTTCCGCCTTTGCCGCTCTTCTCCATGCGGTACTGGTAGATGTGCAGGGTGAAGAGCATGTGGGAGTTGCGGTGATCCTCCTCGTCACAGTCCCGCTGGCTGCTGCGACGTGAGGCAATGGCAGCGTCGAGGAAGAAGGCAGCCTTCTCCGCCGTAGGGGCGCGGAGCTCGCTCTGGTTCTGAAGCTGCAGTTAACACAAGGGAGACGTGACACAGAAACTTCCACGCAGGTCAACGCTACCGGACGATTTCCCGCAGGCAGTGTACACCACGGATACACTGGCTTCTGACGGGGCCGAAAGGGAGGAGCTGCCTCATGGGACGAGAGTCTCCTGACACTGGCGGTGGCAATACCATGCCCCCCAGGAGCCTCACAACTGAATCCAGGCTTTCGAGGGTTCTCACTTGGGGTACCTCTGGTGGCAGCTGTTACATGTAAACCCCAGCAACTGGAAACTGTCCTATGGGCTGAGCAGATGCATAAATTCTTTCCTTCATTTCCCAGAATTTTAAGCTATTTATGCTTATTAATTATTTACTATTTTTGCTGCCTTTTTTTTTTTTTCCCCTGCATTGCTGGCTCTGGCAATCCTTGTGTCCTTCTGGTGGTCAGAATTGGCAACAAAAGTTGTGGAAGACACGTCAACCCCAAACTCAACAGCTGGTGGAGACTGGCAGGGGCAGGACTACACGTTACCCTTCAGAAAGTGTTAGAAGGGAGCAGTGCACAGGTAAATCTGGGAAATAACAGGACTGAAGCTTGTGTTCATCCCCATAGCATGCAGGGAGCAGCACAGAAGAGAAGAATTTTTCTTGCCCCTTCATACCAAAAGCTCATGTACTTTCTCATGAGCCAGGGAAATCCATTAAATGGAACAAGACAGGTAATATACATACATTCACATTTGCTGGACCTCAATCCCAGTCACCAGCCTGCTCTTATCTCTCCAAAGTGATAGACAGAATAGGAGGGCAGATATTATTAATCCCCCATAATGTTAGGAATGCACGCATGTTTCGGGTCACCTCAGCCTAGTTTGTCTGTGGAAGGGACATGTGACTGTGCAATCTGATAGCATTAGTTGGCAATATGCAGAGCTGGCCCATAGGATAGACTTGTTTTGTCTGGTGTAAAAACGAGGAACTAACATTCTCAGGGTTTGTTCCCCTGTCACATAACACATCTAGCAGTTATGTTCTCCTAAAGAAGACATTGCTCTTGTCTTCTCTTCATGACTATTAATCAGCTTGAGGAAGGATAAAGCCAAGGCTGGGCACGGGATGGGGTGACACAGCTGAAGGCTAACATCTCTCTAGAAAGAAAGAGGGAGGCAGGAAGGAGTTAAGAAGGCAAGCAGAAGGCAGGCCAGTCTGTGGGCTGATCTCACTAATGTAAGCAAGAAGAAAATGTGCATACTTGGAAAGGCCCAATGACAGACAGTGTGACATATGGTGATTATTCATTTGCTATACACACTGCTGATTCTGTGTATCTGTATGGCTATAATATAATATCCTCCCTTCATCTGAGGATTTTCAGAATTCAGGTATAGGACACATGACTCCACAATGTCGCTATGTCTTGTAAACACACATAAAAAGGCTTTTTTGCTTGCAATTTAATTCACTGCATAGATACATAGATGTCACATAGAGCTACCTTTTCTTCACTGATCTAAAATAATTTATTTTGGATATAGCTGTTCTGACTGTATCTGTATGAAAATATGCAACAATAATGGGATATTTATTATTATTGCTGATGTGCTTAAATATTTTAGTAAAGAATAAAGCGCTAAGGAGAGTCTAGTTGTTACATAGTTATGTAACAGACACATGCTAATGCAGATCTTAACTGGCCCATGTATCATCCCGGTGGGAAATGTGAAGACTCAAGTTTCCCATCTTATATTCACTAGACTGCACCCATCACTGGATACCAGAGGGTGAGACAACTTGTGATACTGTAAGTATCTCATAAAGCACTAAACCCAGGAGTCAAGTGAGAACAAGAACCCTAATTGTTATTTAAAACCAAGACCAACTTTGTAGTCTTCAGTTAGAATGGAAAAGAATGGAAAATATGATCTAAGTATTTCTAAAAGGCTTAAACCACAGAGATAAAACACAAAATGTATTACTTGCTGTTTAAAATCTCACAATTCATTACTTTTGTGGATGTGAATCATGATTTCTAGATGCCTGGAGCAGGAAATAGGGTATATGATACTGTATGTCTGTTCACTCCTCCCTCCATTCCCCATCCCTGGCTAGGCAGTGCTCTGCAGGTTCTCAATGGAAGCAGCCTTTGCCTTTAAAGTTGAAAGAATGCATTCAAACTTCATCATGCTGGTTTGCTCCCTCTTAATCTACTCATACAAAAACGAGGTTTAGTCCCTTACAGACAGCAAAATGAAAGAACAGGCTGTTTTTCTCCTCAAACCAAGAGGGGGAAAAAAAATAGGGTTGCTGAGGCTTTCTAGTGGTTACCCAGGAAATACATGATCCAGTTACTCATTCCTGCTAAATCTCCAAACCTGAGAAGAGTTTGAGTTATTCTTGGCTTGCCCAGCTCAGGAATTTATTTCTTGGCAGCAATTAATAAGTAGCGATTAATGCTTCCTGAAACTTTGCTAATGCAAGTGCTATAAATAATGTAGTTTATAAAGAGATAAACAGCCATATTAATGGCCTCCAGCTATTTGTGCAGTACTGTAAATATTTTAGCTTGCTGCTTTACAAAAGAGAAATCACACTTTCTTTTCTTTTTTTTTTCTTTTTTTTTTCTTTTTTTGTAAATTGGTGCATTTTTGTTTGCACTGAATGTTTTCACATTTTATTGCAAACACAAGCCCCTGCTCAACATCAGTTATACCAGAGGTACAAATATTTAGGATGGGAGAGCAGATGGCCCTGCAGCTGCAGGTCATAATGTTCTTGCATGTTTTAAAGTAAACACTTTCAAGTCTCTGAACTTTATGCTCTGGGTAGTTCTTGAATTTGAACCATCTCAATAGCTTAAAAAAAAAAAAAAAAAAAAGAGACACATTATTTGTTCCACTGTAAAATGAACCTTGAACTCACCTGCATGCCACAAATGGGGTCTTCACAAAGGTAGACACCTGGGGACTGGCCATCTTGCAGGCTGCCTGTAGCCACTTCTGACAACAGGTCTCTCAGATTTTCTTCTTTCCCCCATACTTCCACTGCAGAAATTCGGACTGAGAAGCGGGCTCCTGTCTTCTCTTTGCGTTCATTAATCAACTTGAAGAGCCAGGAGATGGCACAAGGGATTATGCCGAGGTTTTGCATGGAATCATCCTTCCCGATCATGGTGTATGACTTCCCTGTCAGGAATGGGAGGATGAAGAAAAGATAACAACATCACTCCCAGGACCTTCACAGCCTTCTGCCAAGAGAGATTATCCTGCACAGCCTCATGAAAACAATTTCTTCACTACAATAAGGACAGTCAGCGAGGGAGAAAGATAGGCTGGCAGACAAATAGTACATGGAAAATAGAAAGCATTTAAAATCGACAGATGAAATCTTGAGCTGCTTTCAGAAATCATTACCTTGTGCATTCCCCTGACATCCCCCATTCCCCAGGCGGGGTGCTGCAGGTCCCTACCACAGAACACTGCAGCCTCGGATGTGGATGAATACTGGGGGGAAATAAGCAGAGCAGTAGTGCTATGGTCTCTGACGATCCCTGCTTTACATATTGTGAGTGTGGCAGTCTTTGAATACTATTTTACTTCAAAGCACTGTATTATGCTTCAAACGCTGGGGTTAGGATTGACATAAACCTGGTCCCAGGATTATAAAGACATAACTTCATACAGAAAATAAACAGGTACATGTGGTAATTTGGTGCATAAGTGGGTCTACAAGAAGAAATATTTTATCAGGGTCAAAACCTTCCCCTGTTTAGCATTTATTTGACTCTGTAATTATAGCTCTGGCTTGTCTCTGCTGTAATAGTTTGCTGATTATGAACAGACACAGAGCACTATCTTATGCTGCTTTAGATGTCACTACATAAAATGCTTTTAGACAAGTTTTCTAAAGCTCCTAAATTTGTGAGCCAAATGATAAAGGTATACATTCTTTCAGTCAACTACTTGTGGCTTCTTTACCATGTTGCATTTCTTATGTTGAAAAAGGTCAGTGAAGGAAATATTTCTATGCATGTCTGTGGCAAGGTCTGGGTGTGTCCAAAATGGGTGGAATGGTAGTAGTTCATTTACCAAAGCAACTGCAGAGACTCAATTCATGCTCCCCCAAAGCCTTAGCTAGGCTGCCTCTCTAAAGGACGTGTAGCACTAGTGAGACACCGTTATCTGGTGGTTTTCTTTTCCTTGTCATTTGCCATCTCGATTTTGGTAGGTCACAGGGGGTTAACTATCCAAGTGCTCATCCTATTATTACTCCTGCCTGGCCCAGAGGGGCCCTGTGGTTAGTTGGACCAGTGGCCCTGCTCCATTCATTGTACCAGAGATGGTGGCATTACAGCATTTAATACTCTCCAGTTTTTGTTGCCTGTAATTTGGAATAATCATGGCCTGATACAGCTTGCTCTTCTTTATCACTTGAAAAACTGAATTATCCTTTTAAGTTGTATGTGTACCTCTGTGTTTCTTTGAGACATTAAAGAATGGAGCTTACTGCACACATACAATATGACCCTCTGCATTAAAGAGATGGTATTTTCAAAATACCATTAGATAAGCATGACCAAAATATATGATTACTCTTGAAATCCAGTTATTTCTAAAGAAAAGTGTGTAAATGATGATGATTCTCTTTTTATTTTCTTTCCATGAATATCTGAAATGCTGTTGATGTGTTTGCGAGTTTTGATCCATTGGTAACATTCAGCTAACGATTAGAATAGGATTTGTTGGAGACAGAATAAGAAGAGGTTAGTAATGAATAAATTGTCTAATCAGGGAACAAAATATAAATCAAACTATTTGAGGTCCCAGTCACAGCACTTGAATAGTGCCATGACAAACACCAAGTGCTTGAGTGGACACTCATAGCCTTTACACAGCTCGATAAAAGTGGTATTTTGGCAAACAGTCTCCAACACCAAGCACATCTGTAAAACTAGATCAATGTTGGATCATTCATTAAGAACTGAAGACAATGCTAAAAATTGCTATAGTACTCAGGGGATGGAATGAAGCAACAACTCAAAGATAACTTCTGTTTCAAAGAGCATGCTGTCCGACGTTTAGACAACATCCAAAGTAAACAGATGTGTAAGTGAGAGATAAAGGTCTAGTACAAGGTCATGCACAGTGTACTACTTTCAAATACAATTATTATGCACAAACAAACGAAAGTCTGTTTTTCCTATTCTAATGTACTATCAATCTTGGGTTAAAAATATTCACTTTGCTGCTTGAGTAGGGAAATTTAACAATACCAACCAAGTTTGGCATGGCCAAAGCAGAACACACAGCCATCTGCCCCATTGACCACAGACTGGATCACCTCAGCCACAGTCCCAGCACATACTTCAGCCTGTCACACGTATTTAAAAAAAAAAAAAAAAAAAAAAAGGTAAAAAAGAAGAAAAAAAAAAAGAAGGATAATAAAACAATTAACAGTAATAAGGAAAATTAATAGAATATTTTCACTGAAAAATGGTCATAATGTCATCCTTGCTCCAGATAGCATGTTGAAGTATCAAAAAAGTCTAATCCTGCTTGTCTCATACACGTGATCAATGCTGTTGATGGGAATGATATTGTGTAAGCACAAGAAGCAGGGCTTTTGCTCTCTGTCAAGTAAGTTTCATTTGCTGAAGCATCAACATCCTTTGTGGGGTTAAACAAAATACATGTACTGTAAGGGGATGTGGTTGGTTTGTTAGCACTGTCTACTGAGGGGACTTCAAAAATATATTTTTGATTAAAACCCAATCAAATGCCGAGGAATTTTTACAGGCTCTGTTATTTGCCCAATTACGGACTGAATTCAATTCCACTAGCAAATGGGTAAGGAATGTAAGAGGAACAAACAATCTCCTTGATATTAGCTAGGTGACATTTCTTAATTTTTCTCTACATTATTACGAGTCTTCTTAGCTTTTAGCAGAAGTAGGCTCCATCCTGAAGACTGTAGTAGTATTTTAAGAAGTACAACACACAAATTTACCCTGAGCATTCTGAGAAGTAAGGTTCAAGCAGGCTGAATGGTCTACAGCACTCCTGCAGCAACCGCCTATCACAGTTTAGGCTTTTATGTGAAGCACTTCACATTTGATTATAAATCATGTAAATTCACCCAGTTCATGGGTATTTCTAGACAGTCGCTATAATAGTAAATAAAATGGACCAAGCAAGTGCCTGTTGGCAGGCCAGCCCTTGAACTGCATCCAGGCATTAGTCTGGGAGGTGCAAGCTGCCTGGACCAGAATGAGGTTAGGGATTGACCTAATGATATGATCATATGACAGTGCTTTAGCTGGCCCCGTGTCCTAGCTCTGTTTAGCTTATGACTACAGAAACAGCCTTAGGGTACTGTTTTCTAACTATACTTTGCAATGTTATCTTACTTTTCTACAGTGCTCCTCATGACATTTGGGTAGCATAGTTCATCAAACCAAAGAAGTCTAATAAAAATAAGAAATCCAAACATACACATATGAATAAAGATTTGTGGACTAAAATCCCCAACTTCCTATTGTAAACTATACAATAGAACACTGTATAAACAATCCTTGATTTCTTAACGAATAGACTGCATTAGAGAACTGCAGTTCTGATCTGATCGCTGTATACATCAAAAAATAAGATTTTATAATATACAATAACTTGTTGATATTGATGATTTGACTACTAGGCACCATTTAGCACATTTATCACATGTATAATTTTAGGATCAATTTTTTACAGTAAAGCGTAAAGAAAGCACACAGCTATCAAGATACAATTTAATAAACTGATTTCATTATTGATGACAATAGAGACCAAATGCAGCCCTGGTCTAACTCCACTGAAAGTACTACTGTTGCACCAGAAACAATTTGTCTCTGGTGCATGCTATTGTTCAGATTATTCCGGTCATAGGTTGCCTACCTGTGATGCATCTTGGGGGAAAACTGCATCAAAAGCAAACATCTTGGGTGGAACCTGGTTGCCCCTTTTCTGGAAAGCATTCTGACCTCCGCAGGCCAAGGGGTCATACAACGTGACTTGCTTCTTACGAGGGTCAACTTTTAAGAAAGAGCTGGACTCAGACGTGTCTCTGGCAAGTGTGGAAGAAATGCGCACCATGACTTTGACCTGTCAGCAAACACACAAAAAGATGACCACATTCAGTTAGTCTGGTGGGTGCTCTAGACTGGCACAGTGAATTAACTCTCCAATACACTCGACCAAATCATACTTGCTTGCTGTAGCTAGTGTCTCAGTGGAAGTCAGTGAAGACACAGGAATTATTATAGGCAGAATTGGTCCTAAAATACACAGTGAATAAAAGCCATAACTCATCTACATGTACTTCAACAAGCAACTTGTGTATTTAGAATTACAAGGTATATCATGGTGTTTTAGTGTCGATGTTACTCAAGTACAATGATGAGGTATTACCTCACCTTATCTTACTCTCAACATAAATTGAAAATTAACTGTACCCCAGTGGCCCAATTAAGAAAGCTGAAAGGTAATATAGACTGCTAAACTACCAGAACTGCTGTGGTTTCTACGAAGCAGTCTGATCAATAAAAGCACATAAAAGCCAGATCTGTAATTTACACCTTTCCGATTCTGAACCAAATGCAAAAAGATGAAGTGCTCAGTTCTAAGTGTCAACATCAAAGAGTTGTGAAAAGAGCCCTGTTTTAATGGTCAGATTTTGAAATTATCATCAAGGGAGTGGAATGTAATAAGCCATAAAAGATTTGTTAAAACATGTTTGCTCACAACTCATTAAATGGCTACATAATAAGACCTTATTCCTAAGACAAAAATACATCTTCATGGATTTAATGAGGTTATACTGAATCCTTAGCCCAGTTGGTAAGGAATTTAGATATAAGCAAAACTGATGACAATCGGTCTGGCTTTGGTTCTCCCCATAAATTCACCACCTGCAGACACACAAGTTCCTGAACTTTACAGGGCAAACTCTGCCAGCTCTAGTCACACCTGCATACCCTTTGTCCTAGAGCAGGCTGACTTTCACACCAGACAGACAAAACTTATATCTTAATGCCCTTTAATTGTATGTCACTTGTATCAAACCCACCTACGATCGGCATTCAAGTGACCCCAAAGGGTCACCTCAGCACAGGGTGGGAGCACATCTGCTGTTGGAATGGCAGATGCACTCTGGGAGAAGATTGTAGCCCTAAAAGTCAGCCTCACTGAAACTGGTGCTCTTTGTATGTAGATCTCATTTCATGCTGGCCTAAGCCCATCTCACATGGAAATAAGTCAGCTTCTTTGACAGGTAAAATCTGGGAAAACTCATTTTTGTCACAACTCCTTTGAATACAATGGAATGAGACCAGAGATTAATTCTGTGTTTTTGTGATGTCTTCTCCATGTGTCCGTGAGTCAAAGTGGTACTTTGACTCCATGTGGTCTAACCTGGGAACACAAGCTGTCATTAGATGGTGAAATAATCAGAAATCTGTGCACATGATTTCAGTTTTACATAATTAGTTGAGGAAAAATACTGCTTGGGTGTGAATGGATTCACTTCTCAACTGCTCAGCTGAGCTGCTTATGAAACCTAACCTCAAACTGAAAAAAGCCACTTCCAGTATTTTGCAAAAGCCATTCTTCTAAACCCAACCCTAAGCAGAGCTGATTGCTACTGGGGACAAAGGCAGCCAACACCCCTGGTCAGTTCACATGAACTGGGCAAGGTTTGAATGTTTACTCCAGCCCTAGGTCTCCTGGCAGCTCATAACAGAGGCACTAGTCAAATTAGCAGGGAAGGGAGGGAATACAACACTGTAAATCCTAGAGGAGCAAGAAAACAAAGAACAATATCAGTCTTCATCTGTTTTTCCTATTTTCAACTTTGGATGCCTTTGGCTTTTTGTACTGCGTCCCACATTTTTAAATAGATGCTAACATCAAGAGCATTAGACTGATCTGTTGGAAAACAAGATAAATGCTGTTCTTCAACTACTTTAAATAAAATATTTGAGGTGCTTTATAAAACCCCTGTAAGTTTATCTACATTTTGGGCTGCTAAGAATCCATGTCCTCCAGATCCTCGATCCTTGTGTGCAAAGGAGAGTTAACTGAATACCCTGGGGCTAAGTTTCTTTGGCTTTTGGAGAATGGATAGTGCATGAAATTTAACAACCCTTCATATGCAGGCAGTCTAAGAGTTCTTTCTGGCCTCAGACTGTATGGGCATTCAGTTTTAACTCCAGCTACACCAGTTTTGTCACAGTATAATATCACTGGCTTGGGTCCCAATTTAAACCTGTTCACACAAAATCAGATTAATACCAGTCTCTTCTTACTGAAGTAATACTGCAAATAGTCCAAACTTCCAACAGCCACAGTGACAGAAGCTGAGGCATCAGGTTTCTCTTTCCCTGAAGTAAAAGACCAATTTAACTGAAATCCTAAAAATTTACTAGCATCAGATAAACTGAATGAACCACTATTAAAAAAAAAAAAAAAAAGTTTCTCAGAATTAGAACAATCAACCATTGGAATACTCTCCCCAGGGAAGTGGTGGATTCACCAACCTTGGACACTTTTAAGATTCAGCTGGACAGGGTGCTGGGCCATCTTGTCTAGACCATGCTTTTGCCAAAAAAAGTTGGACCAGATGATCCTTGAGGTCCCTTCCAACTTGGTGTTCTATGATTCTATGAAAAAAAAGCTCAGCTCAAAAGTCCCAGGAGTTGTCTAACAGCATACATTTTCTGACCATTTGGCTCCTCAACTCTGGCAAATACAAACACTTCTCAAGAAAAACATGACTGTCAGCAACCTTTGTATTTCCTCTGCATTGTGGATTTTTGTTTTGAGACTTAATGGTTCATAGAATCATAGAATCACTTAGGTTGGAAAAGACACATAAAATAATCGGAGCCAACTGTTAACAAAACACTACTGAGTCCACCACTAAACCACGTCCCTAAGCACCACACCTCCATAGAATCATAGAATCATTTACGTTGGAAAAGACCATGCTCATGTGTGTTACGGCAGAGGAATATCATATTGATTACATGTGGGTATCCGGAGAGCTGGACCACTTCTTACTCTGAAGTTAGTTTGTTTGCAGCTGGCATGAAGATGTTTGTGCACCTTCGCACACCTTATCATGGGTAATTCCCCTCACTTCCATTTAGAAGAGTCTGCAGGAGCTGTCTCCGAGCCAGTTGTCTGACCCCTTTGTAGACAGCAGAGAGAAAGAGGCACCTCTAGCACTTAATTCGCATGGTCTGTTTTATAGATCTGCCTTCCAGATAAGATGAATTGCACTCCACAAATGCTTCTTGCTTTCTCTATACCACCACAGGCATCTTAAATAATCACCTGAGATGTAGGTGCCTACATTGTAGGCTGTCTAGAGTTATTCTTTTTGCTGTAAGCATAATAAAAATGCTTTTCCTGGGCAGCATAGTCCCTGGCCCACATTCAGTATGACACACAACTGTGTGTGACAGTCTTCAGTAAAAATCACATGCTAGCAAAAATAAAGATGGGTGCATGAGTGTGATGGACACTGAACACAAGTGGTAGCTATAGATTATTTGAACTCATCTGGTAATTTGTAGACCCTAGAGTATTCTTCCAAGCCAGTTTCACACCAGTGCAACTCTTTCAAATTACTTCTGACTTACATTGCATTGAGAAGTGACAATTAGAACCTGGCTGTGCAAAATACATGTCCACTATATGCCATGGGAGCTGTGACTACAGCAAATAAACAACAAGCAGGCAAGATACAGGCAAACCTCAGTCCTGAGAAACACGTATTGGGATTCGGAACTGCATACATAACTGCGGCACACTAAGTTTGGCAGACCAAAACAGATTTTTAAAACATCTGATGTATCTTCTGAGGAGACAGGCAGGCTGTGATTTGGGAATCCGGTTGAGGCTGGGGAGCTAGGACCCCTCCTAACAGCTGTGCCTCAGATGCAGTATGGTTGTGAACTAGTGATGGTTCCACGCTCCCCCCACCTGTACCATGGGCTGAGGCACAGCTTACTTCCCTGCAAGGCATACTGACACACTCAGCCATCACCGGGCCTCAAAGGGCTGGCAGTTGCCATTAGGTAGGCACTCCATTATTCAATGTTGTTATGCATGTAACCTAAACCCAAGGATTCGTTCAAAGCATTTCCCAACAGTGGTTACGACAAGAGTAAATCAACGAAGCTACAGCAGTAGAAACGATGGGAGACCACGACCTCCTGCTCTGCCATTTCACAGTCCTTCGTGCAATTTATAGTTGGGGGTAACGGGAGGAGACTCAGAGTCCATGCTGGCCCCTGCAGTCCATGCCACGGGGGAGGCAGTGTGAGGACAGGCGAACATAACTCAGCCAGCTGTGGGGATAGCACAGGAACTTAATGGACTTAAAAGACTTCAGTTCAATTTAAGGAACAGACAGGTTGAAGATCACAGTGCTGCTCTGGGGAAGGCAGAAATACAGTACAGTTAATTTGAAACTAACTGAACAGTGAAGTTTAAAAACTCAAATTCTTTATGCTTGCAATTTATATTTAAATAAACTGTAAATTGAACTTCTCCTTAAAAAGAAGAAAGCAAATTTTCTGCTTCACTTCCTATGTGTCATTACTCTTTTAGTCCAGTACTACAGTTTCCCACTAATCTCTTGTAATTGAAGGGTTTAAGAGACACCACTTGCGATTAATGGGACCACTCAGTCTGCCAGAAATTCTTACTTGAATCCCAGTGATCAGGCCTTGGCAGCGCCCAACCTTAGACGCACCTCTGACTGTTTCTACAGGGAAACATGAAAGCAGTCTCTTGAGACACGCGCTCTTGGTAAAACAAACAACCTGGGCCTAATTTTGATCTAATTTTACACTCGTGCAAATCTGGCTGAACTCAGCAAGAACTATCCTTAGAGAGAGAGAGAATAAAAGAAAAGGTCACTTGTTCTGCATCATTATTGTGCCTTTTTGTTGGATATAACTTCACCTCTTAATTCTGCTCACATTGGAAACATTTTAAAATGTGTCTTCTCCTGTGAGTCCACAGGATTTCATTTGACAATTATTCAAACCAACAGGACCCCCATTTAGTACTCTGGATTTCAGTTCCTGCCTACA